TAGAGCACCATATACATAAAATCTTTAAAAAAGATTTTTTTTTTTAAAAAATCCATTTGAAATCCTCCAATTCTGTGAGTAAATGGGGGAAACTGGTTTTCTAACATAACCAGCCTGGGCAGAACACAGGAGAAAATCATTTTAAGATGGCGCAGGTCTATGGCATCAAGATGAGCCCTGCGTTTGCCTGGCTTCCAGTCACACAGCTGGATAGAGAACACTGCCCTGGGGGAGCTGAGGAGCAGCTCTGGGTAGTTGGCTTTGTCAGCGAGGGAGGGGACCACAGGGAGCTGCCACACCTATCAGCTGGCACATCACAAGGCTGCAGTAAGTACAAAGAACTACACAGAACCAAAGGCTGAAAGCAGCTAAGAATCCATGGAGTTCTTACAAGACGAACACCCAGGCAGTAGAGAATCTATTAGTATAGTAGAATACTAGGATCACACTTAATTTAGCTACTCCAGACATGTCCTAAAAACTCTCAACACACCTACCCAGCAGATTTCAATCCTGCCAAAAAAGAAAAAAGCTAAAAACCCGCAAACCCAAGTGTTCAGCAGCAAATGAAAAACACTTACTAAAACAGTGTTAACGTGATAGGCTAATTCTAAAACTTCTAAGGAAGGGAAAAGGTTCTAAGCAGGAAGGTGGTGGTGGTGCAGGCCTTTAATCCTAGCATTCCAGAGGCAGAGGCAGAGGCAGGTGGATCTCTGTGAGTTCAAGGGTCAGCCTGGTCTCCAAAGTGAGTTCCAAGACACGTAGGACTGTTACACAGAGAAACCCTGTCTTGAAAAACCAAAAGAAGGAAAGAAAAAGGTTCTAGAATTGCCAAAAACAACTTTTTAAAAAGACGTGGTTGAGCTTCAGTCTAGGCAGGCCTACACAGTGAGACTCTCTCCCTAAAAGGAAAGGACAATCCCAGCTGGATTATGGGTTAGAGATAATATAAGGCAAACAGCATTCAAGGCTGTGTGAAATATACCCAAAGAGCTCAGCAGAAAAAAGGGCATGCCTCATAAAACTGACAATATAAGTTTAGTGCCAAAAAACCATATAAAAAGCTGAGTCTGTAATCCCAGTACCACTAGGGTAACGTGGGAGACAGAGACACCATAGCCAGAGCTCACTCACAAAACACAATGGCAGAAATGAGAGAGATCCTACCTCAGACCAAAATGAAAGAAAAGGACCAACTCCTTCAAGTTGTCGGCTGCTTCTACACATGTGCACACACACACATGCATGCACACATGCACACATACACACACACACACACACAAAACAATATTTTCAAAAATTGAGAAAATTATTGATGGTTTGAAATATTATTGGGAGGTGTGGCCGTGTTGGACAAAGTGTGTCACTTTGGGGGTCTCTTTGAGTTCTCTTTTGCTCAAGCTGTTGCCTGCAAGATGTAGGACTCTCAGCTCCAGAATCACGTCTACCTGCCGCCATACTCTGCACCATAATGATAATGGACTGAACCTCTGAAACCGCAAGCCAGCCCCTGCAATTAAACATGAGAGTTGCCAGGGTCATAGGGTCTCTTCACAGCAACAGCAAACCCTAAGACAGTTATTTTGTTTATTTATTGTATGAGGATCTCTCATGTAGTTCAGGCTGGTCCTGAACTTATTATGTTGGGAGAATGACTGAACTTCTGATCTTCCTGCCTCCACTGCTTTTGAATTAGTGATTCTCAGCCTGTGAGTTGCAACCCCACAAGGGCTGAACATCTGATATTTACATTACAATTCGTAACAGCAGCAATATCACAGTTATGAAGCAGCACTGAAATACTTTATGGCTGGGGTCAGCACAGCATGAGGGACCGTACTGAAGGCAGCACTGGGGAGGCCGAGAGCACTGCTCTGGAGGCCATGATCACAGATGGGCGCCAGTGCTGCCACTTCCACAGTGCTGAGGACTGAACTCCCAGCACGTGGAGCTACAGCCTCAGCCCTTTAAAAAAGATGGCAAAGAGAAACAATTTTAAAAAAGAGAGAGACAGACACCAGATGTAAGAATGAGTGGGCAGACAAAAAGCCAGAGACACACTTATTCCAGCATAGTCAGGTGATTTTTGAAGACAAATGGGGGGGGTGGGGGTGACAGTGTCTCTAGTGGTATTAAGGCAACTAGGTATCTATCAGCAAAACAACAAACTTCAAAAATCACACCTTATACCAAACTTGAAACTAAACTTCATCTACCAGAGACCTACATATAAAAGCAGAACCACATGACTCTAGTAAAAACAGGAAAATCTTTGTGACCGCAGGGAACACAAAAAGATCCTTAGGACAGCCTTTTAAAAAAAAAAGAAAGAAAAAAAAAAGGCAAACTATAAAAAAGTAAATATGACCTTACCAATTTTTTTTTAAGTTTCTCTTTGAAATGCCCCTTTAAGAAAATGAAAACAGGGCAGACAGTGGTCGTACATGCCTCAGTACTCGGGAGGCAGAGACAGGCAGATCTCTGTGAGTCGAGGCCAGCCTGGTCTACAGAGAGAGTTAGGGCAGGTTCCAAAGCTACAGAGAAACCCTGTCTTGAAAAAAAGAAAAACAGTTAGAAAACGAAGACGGGGTGATGGTGCACACTTTTAATCCCAGCACTCGGGAGGCAGAGGCAGGTGAATCCCTATGAATCCAAGGTCAGCCTGGTCTACATGGTAAGACCCCACCCTAAAAGAAAAGACTGGAAATACCAGAATGGAAGGAAATAACATTAAGACTTAGATGCCAAATCATTAAAAAAAAATTTAGACAACTCAAATTTTTAAATATAAGGGAAAGATAGTATAAGTGGTCAAAATGAACAGGAAAAATAATCTTAAAATCATTAGCCATTGGAGAAATACACTCTTTTTTTTTTTTTTTTTTTGATTTTTCGAGACAGGGTTTCTCCGTAGCTTTTGGTTCCTGTCCTGGAACTAGCTCTTATAGACCAGGCTGGCCTCGAACTCACAGAGATCCGCCTGCCTCTGCCTCCCGAGTGCTGGGATTAAAGGCGTGCGCCACCACCGCCCGGCTGGAGAAATACACTCTTAAAACAAAAAGGAGACATGACTACATCCTCATGAGTTGGCTGAGATTAAAACACTTATCGCAGTGCTGGTGGGAACGTTAAACAGCACACAGCAGAGGAGTCTGCGGTTTCTTATAGATACCACACAATCTGGTCATTCCATTTCTACACATTCATCCAAGACAAATTAAAAGATCGCCACACGACTGCTCGTAAACAACTGCTCGTAAACAACTGCTCACAGCAGCTTTATTTAAAACAGACAGCTCCAAAGAAGGCCAGTGTCTACCAGCATGGAGATACGCTGCAGACTGTCAGACAGCAGTGCACCAATCCCTGAAACAGGAGCCTGCGAGGCAGCGGCACAGCAAACAGGACAGAGGCACAAGGCGAGGGTACATAAGGGTACATTTAGTAAACGCCACAGCAGCAAAGCCCTCTACAGTAACAGAAAAGGCAGTGCTGAGCCCCAGGGGCTGGTGTGAACCACACTGCAAACTGCGGGGCACTGGCAGGAGTATTAGATTGCAGTTGTACTGACTGCAACATGGTGGCAAAGGCTGGCCAAACTCATTAAACTGTACACTTACGATTATAAATGTTACTATTTATATGTGTCCCGACAATGATAAGTTTTAATTATCTTTGGTTCTAGAATTGGATTTTTTACCTTTTCTGTATGAAATGTTTTAGAAAGAAAAAGCAGAACCAAATGCTTAAAACTATTCAAATTTATAGCAGTCTGGGACCAAATGTTAATAAACAAATAACAAACATGTAACGCAGAATAACTTTTTTAAATGACATTTGCATGTGTCATGTGTCATGTGCACGTGCACGCATGGTTGTCGAAGCTCAGCTTTCGGGAGTTCTGTGGTCAAATGCAGGTCTTCAGGCTTGGCAGCAAATGCTGTTACTGAGCTATCTTGTCAGCCCAACGAACAGTATTTAAAAGCAAGGACTGAAACCCCTGACGCTTAACTCACTAGGGCAGAGAGCACAGAAGAAAAGATGGCATCCCATGTCCAGTATTACAGCACAAGGACCCTCAATGACAAGAGAACTGTTACCCTATGAAGTCTCGCGGGCTCCTTGTCAGTCCCACTCCTTTTCTGTCCTTGCCTACACGTTACCATACACGGCAGTGAAATGATCTGCACTGCATCAGCACAATCAGCTCCTTTTTAAATAACATTTTACAGTTTGATTTTAAAACCCTTAAGTTGTGTTTCACTTACATTAACTGGTTCATTTTCCAGTTAGGTAGAGTGCCTAATTCTTTCTTTGCTGTTTGTTTGTTTTCAGACAGGGTTTCTCTGTGTATATCTAGTTGTCCTGGAACTCACTCTGTAGACCAGGATGGCCTCTAACTCAGATATCCGCCCTTCTCTGCCTCCTGAGTGCTGGGATTAAAGGTGTGCGCCACCACCTCCCAGCATAAGAGCGCCTAATTCTTGATCCACATATATGTTGTGTGAACTCTTTACCCAAGTATGTTGTCATCAACAACATTCTTTGACCCAATAAAACATCTGTCTGCAAAGACTGTAGGCATTACTTATTATCATTCTTTGGGTCCTAATCTTATTCATCTGAGTCTACAGTTTACATCATCATGAGATAAATAAAAGCACATCGTTAAAGAAAAACACTAATAATTCATAAAACCATTAAAATGAACCTAATATTCAACCCAGCATCCTTCGGTCAGGAATTGGAGGTGCACTAACTGTCCCAGCATCCTTCAGTAGGGACGTGACACTTCTCCCTGTAAGAACATGCATTCCAACTACTGCACAGGACTGCATAGGACTGCACGGGCTCTACCTTGCTAGTAATAAAGAGCATGGAACCACACACACAAGCTTCAAGCAGCTCACTCCTGTTACTAATAATACACTGCCCCTGTCCCTTTGTGCCATGGGAAAACACTTCACTTGTGCGTTAAAATCACTCTTCTGAATCCTTACATTTTTGTGACATTCCTTAAGCAAGTTAATCAAGATGTTGCATTCCTCGGTGTGCAAATGTGGCGATAAGTCAGGATGCATCTTTAGGAGGACGAATAAATGCAGGGCGACCTGTGAACACAAGAATTCCTTGAGTATGCATGAATATACTTGCATTTTCAATGAGAGCTGGCAATGACCTTTATGATAATCAAGTGTCAACCATGAACCAAGTGTGTAGCTGGAGCCAAGCGTTCAACGCGAGCCTCAGCTCCTTTACAGTGACGAAACAGCCAGCATGTTCCCCAGGTTTAGAGCCTGCAGTGACGGAACAGCCAGCATGTTCCCCAGGTTTAGAGCCCGCAGTGACGGAACAGCCAGCATGTTCCCCAGGTTTAGAGCCTGCAGTGACGGAACAGCCAGCATGTTCCTCAGGTTTAGAGCCTGCAGTGACGGAACAGCCAGCATGTTCCCCAGGTTTAGAGCCTGCAGGTCCCGAGGAGGAAGAGCAGTCCCTCCCTTGGGAACACTTGCCTACATCAACAGCTGGACTTTAAAAACTTTGCTCACACGCCAGGAACCGGTTATGACGCATCTTATTCAGGTGAAAGTTTAGCAACTAGGAGAATTGGTTATTACTTCTTTTAAACCTTATGCTCCTCTGAGAGTTATAAAGGGCCGTAAGTCAGTCTCACATTAGTGTGAATTAACTCGGACTGCTTTTTAACATCTGGCTGAGAAAACCTAGCTAAATGATGAAGTGAGACAATAAGTTGATGGAGGAAGGTCATTGGCTAATAAAGAAACTGCCTTGGCCCATTTTATAGGTTAGAACATGGGTGGAGTAAACAGAACAGAATGCTGGGAGGAAGAGGAAGTGAACTCAGACTCGATAGCTCTCCTTTCTGGGGCAGATGCGATGAAGCTCTGACCCAGGATGGACGTAGGCTAAAATCTTCCTGGTAAGCGCACCTTGGGGTGCTACACACATTAATAGAAATGGGCCAAGCAGTGCTTAAAAGAATACAGTTTGTGTGTTGTTATTTCGGGGCATAAGCTAGCCAGACGGCTAGAAGCCGGGCTGTGGGAAGAGGCCCGCAGCTCCTTCAACAATAAGTGGTTTTCAAATTTCAGAGCTGTGCACAAAAGTAATCACTGCACCGAAAACAAAAATTGAAGATCCCAGGGATTAGTTTAATGGGTCAACCACAAAAGAGAAAATTAGCAACCAAGATTAAGAAAATATATGGTTTTAAAATGTCTGCTATAGTTATATAGTGTTACCCTATTTTTTAACTATACTTTCTAACTCAGAACATGACCAAAGAACCATTTAATTGTTTTAATCTTAAAAGCTCTCTCTCAAAAAAAAAAATCAGAACTACCCCAGATCTATTAAGAAAGCCACTGTCAGCCGGGTGTGGTGGCACACAACCTTTAGGCCAGCACACAGAAGGCCGAGGCAGGCAGATCCCTGTGAGTTGGAGGCCAGCCTGGTCTACAGGGTGAGTTCCAAGACAGCCAGGGCTACACAAAAAAATCTTGTCTTGAAAAATTAAAAAGGAAGGGAGGGAGGGAGGGAGGGAAGGAAGGAAGGAAGGAAGGAAGGAAGGAAAGCAGGCAGGCAGGCAAGCTGTTGTTATCAGGTATGGTGGCGCACGCCTTTAATCCCAGCACTTAAGAAGCAGAGGCAGGTGGCTCTCTGAGTTCCAAACCAGTCTGGTCTATGAAGAGAATTCCAGGACAACCATGGCTACACAGAGAAACTGTCTCTCTCAAACCAACCAACCAAACATACAAAAAGAAAGCTGAGGGGAAAAAAACAAACAGGAAGGGGTGCTGAGAGACGGCTCAATAGGTAAGAGATATGAACTTTGTTGTCGTACAGAACTCAAGTCCCATTCCCAGCCCACAACAGGCAGCTCACAAACCCCTGTAACCAGAGCTCCGAGGAATCCAACACCCTCTCTTCTGTCCTCCAAGGGCACATGCATGTACATGGTGTGTGTAACACACACACACACACACATAATAATAATAAATGGGTTTTTTTTTTAAGTAAAGGAAAATAACAAGGGCTGGGGAGGCTGTAAAGAGACTGGTGAGACTGTGACCCTTGTACACTGCTGGTGTGACATAAAATGGTGTGGCCACCGTAAGAGTCATCTAAACACTCAAAACATTTCATAGGGACCCACACCTGCAATCTCAGCTCTCAGAGGCAGAGGCAGGAGAAACAAGCTTGAGGTCAATCTGACACAGTTGCAAAGTAAATCTCAGGACAGCCTAGGCTACACAGCAAATCTCAGGACAGCCTAGGCTACACAGCAAATCTCAGGACAGCCTAGGCTACACGGCAAATCTCAGGACAGCCTAGGCTACACAGCAAATCTCAGGACAGCCTAGGCTACACAGCAAATCTCAGGACAGCCTAGGCTACACAACAAATCTCAGGACAGCCTAGGCTACAGGGCAAATCTCAGGACAGCCTAGGCTACACAGCAAATCTCAGGACAGCCTAGGCTACACAGCAAATCTCAGGACAGCCTAGGCTACACAGCAAATCTCAGGGCAGCCAAGGCTACACAGCAAATCTCAGGACAGCCTAGGCTACACAGCAAATCTCAGGACAGCCTAGGCTACACAGCAAATCTCAGGACAGCCTAGGCTACACAGCAAATCTCAGGACAGCCTAGGCTACACAGCAAATCTCAGGACAGCCTAGGCTACACGGCAAATCTCAGGACAGCCTAGGCTACACAGCAAATCTCAGGACAGCCTAGGCTACACAGCAAATCTCAGGACAGCCTAGCCTACATAGCAAGACTGTCTCAAAAAGGGAATGAAATGGACCAGCTTCATCAGTGATGGGCAGCACAAGGCAGCTCACCAGTGTCTAACTCTAGTTCTGGGGTTCCAACGCCCTCTTCTGACCTCTACCAGCCCTGCACATATATTGTGTGGGGAAATCCCTCATACATAGAAAATAGATTTTGTTTTCAAAAAGGGGAAAATGAAAACAGAATTACTACACAAGGTAGCAATTCCGCTCCTAGAAATACCCCCAAAGAACTGCAGGCAGCATCTAAAAGAGACAGCAAGACACCCACATGCACAGCAGGTCATTCCCAACACCAAAACAAGCAAACAAACAGCAAAGTGCTACCTTGGCCACACACAGTGGAATACCAGTAAGCCTTAAAAGGAAATGAACTACATACTGCAACATGGATGAAGTTGGGGATAGGCAGAAGAAAATATTCCTGTCTCAAAAAAAAAAAATGAAGGAAAGAAAGAAAAGAGAAAACACAGCACAATGGCACTGCCTGAAATACTTAGTCCGCACGTTAAGACATGTCTCTAGTGCTCGCTTCGGCAGCACATATACTAAAATTGGAACGACACAGAGAAGATTAGCATGGCCCCTGCGCAAGGATGACATGCAAATTCGTGAAGCGTTCCATATTTAAAAAAAAAAAAAAGACATGTCTCTATTTTTGACAATATTTACAAAAGGTTACATTCATGTTCACAGAAACAAAAATCAAGCCACTGGTTGTACGGGACTAAAGATGAAAATGAGGGTTAATTTGTAAATGGACATAAACAAATCTCTTAGAGCAGCGGTTCTCAACCTGTGGGTCGCAACCCCTTTGGAGCCACCTATCAGATATCCTGCACATCAGATATTTATATTTTGATTCATAACAGTAGCGAAATTACAGCTATGATGTAGCATGAGATAATTTTATAGTTGGGGGTCACCACAACATGAGGGACTGTACTAAAGGGTCACAGAATTAGGAAAGTCGAGAACCACTGCCTTAGAGCAATGAAAATGTTCTAAAATGGAGTCCTGGTAATGGCTGCACAATTTTACAAACTTACTAATATCACTAAATTCGCTTACAAAGGGCAAATTTTATGGTATGCACATTTTACACAAAAATTTTTATATAAAAAAATCTGAGAAATGTTTGTGTGTGCGTATCTGAAATTCTCAAACTGCCCACCTCATTCCCAACAAATACAAAAGAAAACCTAAATAAATAATTCCCAAGTACTAAAGCATAGCCACTATCTTAAGTTGCAATTTTATCTGCTCACTGTTCAATTCAGTAGCTACTAAACACACATACACAGCACAGCTAAAGACCACAAATCAAGCAGTCCCACCCAGCTAAGGATTTGAAATGGAAAACAGAAACACAGCCAAGTTCAGATTTTCTTTGCTCTGCACTGACTGCATGTCGTCTTAATGACACAAATGATATGCCTCAGAAGTGTGAAGTTAGACATAGTTCATCAATATAAGTCATCAGCTTATGTTATGGTGTTAATCACCAGAAGCTATCATGTATAGTAATGTAACAGAATGTAGAAGGAGTTAATCTTCTTTTCATCTCACTTATTTTTTTCTGCAAGTACACGGATTTGCCACCTAGAAAATGATTTGAATGTTTTGTTTCAAAAATGTACTTGTCAAAATATTTTTGCACATTCTGATCAAGCAGTCCTCAAATTTGTTCCTTCACGGTTCAAATGCAAATTTAAGATGTTCAGAAACAGCTTTTCTAATTAGCAAAGCAGACACATGGTCTCCAACTTTTGATGGCCCACCTTATAATTCCTCGACTTCAATTCGTGGAAAGATGACACACATTGGGAACCTGCTGTTCTGACCTGAAGCTTTTCATAAACTAGCAATATACAGACCAATGTCGTCTTGTCTCATGGTGCTGCGCAGTGTGAACCAGTCCCAGCCCCAGAGTTGCACAGTGTAGAGAAAATACCAATGCACTAAAGTATACTGGGGTGGCTACTACTTTTTTGAAGGATTATGTTTTCTGTTTTCACATTCTTTTCATGTTTGCAAAATGCATATGCGTGTATGCATGAGTGGTGAGCCCACAAGTATTATAAATGCACAGCAGACATCTACTGGACTAATCCACGGGAAGTGTATATGTCCACATCCCCTTGGACTAGCCGTTTTTGCAGAGCTACGGGAAAACCTGTCTTTTGGATAAGTCACTCTCAATTCTGTAGAAATCCTTTGAAACCATGGCATTTCTACCTTCTATAGTATCCTAGCAGGGTATAAAACTGAACTCCCCCCCCACCCCCCCGCAAGGGTAACTGGATACTTTCCCCACAGAGGGAAGCCCTGATATGAAAGTATTCACTCAGCCAAACCTTTGTTCTTAGAGCCAAAACCTGCTCCCCACAGACTGTCATAACAGTCACATTGCCTACTACCTTGAATCCCATCAAACTGCTTCTCAAGAAATAGGCTGCCTCTGCATCCTTCCGGAACAATGTTACCAGCACCAGGGTGGCAGGTAAGCATTCTGCCAAGTCAAGGGAACTTGAGAGAAATAATGATGATGATGATGATGATGATGATGATGATGATAATCAGTCCTCACACTCATAATTGAACAGAAGCTTGTGAGGGAGAAGTCTAGTAAGTGTATATAGTGAAATGTCCAATAAATGTTTGCTGAATGTTGATATTACTACTGAAAAGGATGAAAAGAAGCTCATTTTGACTTTGCTCAACCAAACCAATACAAAGGGTTAAATGTAAAAGACAGAACGGAAGTTACAAGCGAATCCCTTTTGCCGATGCAAAGTTGTAGACATTTAAAGTGGGTTTAGTTACTGACACAGTCTCACGTAGTCCAGCCTGGCTCTAACTCCCTATGTACCTGAGGATGGCGCTGAACTCCTGACCCTGACCCCTGCCTCCACCTCCCCAGTACTGGGATTAAGGCACGAGCCACCATACCAAGCTTGTTGTGTGTGTGTGTGTGTGTGTGTGTGTGTGTGTGTGTGTGTGTGTAATTTCGCAAAGTTTTAGCAGAGGTTTCTAATATTTCGACTCTACGTACATCTATTGTGAAAACACAATCACAATGGTCCTCGAAGCCTATAAAACGGACACAAAACGTAACTTTCCTTGCCCAGTGTACGGTGGAGATCCTTGTGGATACCCTCATCACCAGCCAGTTAACTAACTGACTTTTCTGTACAAGAACTTTCAGGGCAGCTAAAACGCACACTACCAGATGCCCGTTTCTGCAGGCAGATCCCTAGACGAGTGTCACGTATCTCCAAAAGTGCTGAGACAGGGGAAGCGCACTCTATAAGACGTGTGCTCCAGATCGCAAAGCCAAGAGCGGCCGCGAGCTGTCACACTCCGTAGAGGGTCACGGCCGCTGCTCACTAACCGAGTGTCCCCAGCAAAGGTCCAAGGACAAGAACGTGGGTGCACCCCAGCCGCCTCAGCATCCCGCCTAACGCGGCGTGGGAACCCGAAGAGCCGTGTCTTCGCGCCGCAGGCTCCCAGAGGCCCCGAAGCTGAGGCCCGCCCGACACTCACCGCAGCTCGGCCCCCAAGGGAAATACTGAGAAAAGTCACGGACTCAGAGCACGCAGCTCCGCCGAGTAGACGGCCCTGTCCCGCCTCTCCGCGCTTGCGCCGCCCGGCGTGCACCGCCTCGCCTGGATCGAGCCACTGTCCGAGGCTAAGGGGGGATGAAGGGCTGGCTCACCACGCTCTGTGTGGGCATCAGACAACGAGGACTGCAAGGAGGAATTCTAGACAGAGGTGACCTTTATTGAGCTGATCCTGATCCTGAGTAGAGCGACTCTGGGGACCTGACGCGTTTCCCATCGGGGCGCCCACTACCGCGTCCCCCACCATACACAGGGAGCAGTGCGGAGGCCTGGCCCGGTGGGTGGGGCCCGAGCAGCCATTGGCGGCTTCGAAAGCGCCGCGGCGGGAAGGGCTGCAGACGCGGCGGACGATGTGGACAGGCCAGGTAAGCTTCAGCGTCTCGCGTTGGGACCCGGAGGGTGGAGAGAGGACTAAGAGAGCCAGTCCCCAGTCCTCTACCGGGGCCCTGTCACGGCGCAGTACCGCCACGAGACCTTGGCCTGAGACTAGTGGAGCCCGAGTTTGGAGTAAGAGGGCGGTGATGCGCGCCCGTGGCGTCACGTCCGCCCGGAGTGGGGCGGGACTTTACGTGCCGCTTGGGGTCTGCGCTGCGATCTACAGCTCTGTCTGCAGGAAGGTGGCTCTGCTTTGAGACGCGGGGCTCAATCAGGGCATTGGCTCTCTAGCCCTTGCGTTGCGTGTTTTTCGTCCTGTTGGTTTACTCCTTATGCCCCCTGCGCGTCTAATGGATTGCTTCCCGAGGCATCTTTTCTGTCACTTGTTTGTTCAACAACTGTCATAGCACCTACTGTGGTAAAGCGCCAGAAGATAGGAGTTGACACAGTTACCGGGGAAACGTTCACTCAAGGGCTTGCTAACTTTGCCGATATTTTACGCCCCTTTCTGTCATTTCTTCTAGGAATGACATTCTGCAAGCCACTCAGAATTAAGAATCTTCAGAAGTGCTAAGGAATGTTATATCTCATCTTTTGGGCACCCCACCCTGAATGCCCTGACCTCACCTGATTTAGCAGGGTCAAGCCTGGTTAGTACGGGGATGGGAGAGATGCCTGCTTCGTATATACCCTCCTCGTTTACCTTATCAGTGCCCACGAAAGCCCTCCCAGATGTTCTTCGTGGATGAAGTGTTGACTTGATAGTTGACAGACTATGAACCCCAAATCCTTGCCATACCCATTGTGCTTAGGGGGAGTATCTCCATCCTTCGTCCTTCAGGCATTTGTCAAGTGCATATGAGATGGCCCTTGACTGGACTCCCTGGATGACTTGATTGACAGGCACTGAAATTGTTAGGGTCGGGCTGGTGAGACTGCTCAGAGGTTAAGAGCACTGGCTGCGCTTTCAGAGGTCCTGAGTTCAATTCCCAGAACCACATGTTGGTGCACAGCCATCTGTTGTGGGATCTGGTGCCCCCTTCTGGCCTGCAGGCATGCATGCAGGTGGAACACTGTATAGATAATAAATTTAAAAAAAGAAAAGAAATTGTTAAGATCAGAGCCTGGGTCCGGGCAGCCCTAACAAGCTAGGCTCAGTGGCCATCTTCACTTGTCCAATTAAAAGGACAAGTCACAATGAAAAGCAAAGAAAAGAGATTTATCCAGTGTGACCACACTGGAAAGAACAAAGAGGCCTGGTGATCCACCCCCACCAAGTTCACCTCTGGTGTCCAGACTTGAGACAGACGTTTAAACAGAGAGCATCAGGTATACAAAACTCAGCAGTCCTGGTCACAGTGTGGTCCTGCCCATCTCTGAGCCAGTGTGTCCTGGTGTCAGTCTCTCCTGCAGGAGTGACTGACAAGTTGCCAGAAAAGCACCTCTGCCGGCCCCAGGTGTCAGCCTTTCCTTCTGCCATTGTGTTCCCGGATGAGTTACATTTTCTTGTTATCTGTTGTCTCCAAAGAGACTCTCCTTACTCCTGCCAGGACAGTAACAGTGCTGTAGATGTTACTGACAAAGTAATGAATAAGGCAAACATAGTCCCTGTCTTGAGCACACACAAAAAATTATTGTAGCTGTGATAAAATAATAAAGCTGATGGCAGGTGGCTCTGTAAAGACAGTAAGCACTGGAAGGTCGTAAAATAACTTTTTATTGGATGGTTGCAATAAGTTTCCGGGGAGAGACTAGGCTGAGGGCTGAATTACAGCAAGAACCTTCTAGCTAAGGGTTGCTGCAAATACAATGCCCCATCCCCAGAAGGATCCTTTAGTCTTACAGGAACTGAGACACGGTGTAGCTGAAGAGGTGGGCCTGCAGAAGTGGCTCAGTCATAGAGTATGTGCCTCAGGGAAGGCCCAGAATTCCGTCCTCAAATCCACGTGCAGAAACGAAGAAGATGAGGGAGAGGTAGGCAGAAGGAAGGAATCAAGGGCCAGGTCATACGTGGTCTTGTAGACCATGCTGAAGGTTTTGGTTTTGACCTTTAAGGAAAAACAGTCTCATAACTAAACAATACAGCAAATGATACTTCATTTTCACAACCTTAATTCAGCTTTTTTTTTTTTCATTCTAAACCATGCTTTGGTTTTCAGTGCCTTTTTAAAATACAGTCAACTGGGACTAGGGATGTGGATTTTGGGATGTGGGTATAGCACAGTTGGTAGGGTATGGCCTGGCATGCAGGAAGCCTTAGGTTTGACCTGTCACTGACTAGAACCCAGCAGTGACTCACTGCATAATCCCATACTTGGGAAGTAGAGACAGAAGGATCAAAAGTTGAAGGTCAGGCAGCAGAGGTGGCTTAGCAGTTAAGACGACCCATGGTAGGTGGCTCATAACCAACTATCACTCCAGTTCCAGGGAATCTGGCACCTCTGGCGTCCTCAGACAAACACATCTATGTACGGAGATACATACGGGCACACGAATGTATTAAATAGTTTTTTAATGGTTCAAGGTCATCCTCAGCCACAAGCTGAGTTTAAGCCCAGCGTAGGCTACATGAGACCATATGTCAATGCAGCTTAAAGAGTAATTAAATTCTGCATTCTCAAATAATACAGACCACTGAGAAAAGGTAAACCTAACAAACCCTGGGTTAAGTAGGATACTAAGCAATTCACACTGAGGTTTCTGAACTTGATTAATACATGACTGTGCCCTTCTTGTATCAGGGCCAGAAAGATGGATGAGAATGTTGCCGAGTTTCTCCGGAGGAGCATCTTGAAAATCCCCTTGCACGTGATAAAGACCGTCCTAAAAACCTGGGACTTTCTGTCCGAAAACCAGCTGGAGACCATAAACTTGAGGCAGAGGAAGGAATCTCTGGCCCAAGAAATAATTCTGCTGTGTGAGGTAACAGTGTTGAAAAATATCAGCCAAAGAAATTAATCAATAGAATAAAGTTAGACCAATATGTACATATGGTTAATGGATCTTTTTAAGCAATGGTACAAAAAACAATTCTGGGAAGAAAGAACATTCTTTCCAACTGTTGTTTTGTTTTGTTTATTTCAAGACATGTTTTCTCTGTGTAACAGCTCTGACTGTCCTGGAACTCTGTCTGGAAACCAGGCTGGCCTCAAACTAACAGAAGTCCACCTGCCTCTGCCTCTGCCTCTGCCTCCGCCTCCTGAGTGCTGGAATTAAAGGCATGTGCCTGACTGGAACAATCTTTCCAACAGCCTGGCTAAAACAATTGGATGCTCATATGCAAAAACACTTCTGCTGGTCAAGGTGCTGCATCTGTTCAGTCCCAGAACTATGAAAGCCAAGGTAGGGATGTCTAGTGTTCAGGTGAAGCCTGGGCTGTATCGTGAATGCAAGGGCAACTGCATAGGAAGAAAAAAGACAAGTTCAGTCCATCCCTCTACTGTAAAAGGAAAAGAAGACTCAAATAGATCCAAGATCCAAATGTAATACTTAAAACCATAAAATATGTCAGAGAGACAGACAGACAGAAATCTTTGTGTCATTGGGTTAGGCAAAGGTTTCTTAGACCGTCTAAAAGGTGGTTCATAAAAGAAAAAACAGTTGATAACCTAGAAGAATTGATCAATTTTTTTCTTTGAAAAGGGGTATTTAAAAAAGCTGCAGACTGATGGAAACTATTCCCAAACCCTGGCCTGTAAAAGACCTGCAGCTAAAATATGTTAAAAAGTCTCAAGAGTCAGTAATAAGAAAAAAAACTTAGCTCAGTGGATAAGAACCCCAGCTGCTTTACCAGAATGCCTGATTCCATTCCCAGCACCAACGCAGCAGCTCACAGCCATCTGTAACTCCAGTTCCAGGAGATCTTATACCCTTTTCTAGCCTCTAGGGTACCACGCACACACATGGTGCACAGACATACATGCAGGCAAAACAGCCATACACATTAAAAATATTTTTTCAACACAGAAAAGATTTGGTTAGACACTTCCCCAGAGAAAACATACAGATGGAATAAGCATACGAAGAAGTGTTTAGAATCCCTAGTCATCAGATAAATGCAAATAAAAGTTACAAAATATGGTCATTAAGATGGCTAGGGTTGGCAACACTGATCATACCTATTTGGAATAGATGGGATTTTTTTTCTCTTTCTGATGCTATACATTGGACCCAGGGCCTGGTGCCTGCTAAGCAAAGGCTGTCTGCTAAGCTGTTTGTACCTCAAGCCCAGCATTTATTTTGTGTTTTAGTGCTTGGGATTGAAGGCAGGGTCCCAGCCCTTGACAGTTTGTCTAAAAGTCTAAACATTTGCCACCATAGATTGAGCCATTCCACTGCCAGGCATTTTCTCAAGAGAAATGAAAACACATGCATATCCACAAAAAGACACGTATATTAGCACAGTGTTTATCAAAGCTAAAACCTAGAAACAACCCAAGTCCATCTATGGGTAAGGAACAAATTGTATCATATTCCCATAACAGAAAAACCACTAGCAATAAAAAAGAATTGAACTATAGATGCAAAAATATGGCTAAGTGTCAAAATAAGTATGCTGAGTAAAGGAAGCCAGATCAGAAAAGAATCCAGCCTTATGTTCACATTCATATAAAACTAGGAAATACAAATGTTGTGACAGGAGGAGGATCTGTAGCTGCTCAGCAAAGGTTGGGAGGAAGAGAAGTGGGGACAGAAGAGGATAGGAGTGAGAGGCAGGGGGAGATTGGGCGTGGAAGTTGCTGGGCGTGTCCAACACATTGACCCAACAGTGGCTTCATAAGTATGTTTATGGCCACATCTGAAATATTTAAGTTTATTGTCTCACTTGTGGAGGTGATAAAATGCCCTGACGAAAGCAATGTCAGCAAGAAAGTGTTTGTTTAGGGTCACATTCCTGGGGGTTCAGTCCACGAGCTCATGGGCTGGTCAGGTTGCGGGGACACCCAGTGTGCAGGAAGTATGGCCAGAACCTCATGGCGCCACTCTCAGTGACCTGCTTCCTCCACTGGGTTCCGCCCTCCCCCAAACAGCACCACCTACTGGAGACCAGATGCTCACCGTGTGCACCTGTGGGGACATTTCACATGCAAGCCACAGCTTGTATGCAGTTTAGTGTATGCTCAAGAGTGGTTGTTTTGTTTTGAGACAGAGCCTCACTCTGTAGTCCTGATTGGCCTCAAATTCATTGCAGTCCTTCTGCTTTTGCATCCCAAGTACTGGGATCACAGCTGTGAGCCCCCACATCTGGATTTTGAATGTTTCAAAAATCTAAAAGTTAAGTGATAAATGTGGGGTGAGTTTCAGGAGAATGTGCACTGATGCAAAAGTTGATAGGAGAGTGTAGATCGGAGATAGATCATCAAAACAGTACTTCAGGCATGCGAATAGAATGTTCTCACCAGCCCTTAAAATAGGCTTAAGGGGATTAGCAGCAGACCAGGTGCCTCATTTCCTGACCAGTTCACCCTTTCTTTCAGGGGAAGAATGCAACTCTTGATGACATGGCCCTCTTAGACATCGTGTGTAAGTTTGGGGGTTTTGTCTTTACATATTGGAGTTTTGTTTTATCAGAGGAATTTCTTATATTACTGCAGATTCTAGGGTCAGCAACTAAAAGCACTGGTTGCTCTTGGAGAGGACCTGAATACACGCAGTGACTCAACCACCTAGCACTCTAGTTGCATGGATGGGATGCCCTCTTCTGGCCTCTGCAGGACACTGCATGCACATAGTACATAGACACATGCAGGCAAACACCCATACACATAAAAATAAGCGAATCTAAAGTTGAGACGCCTGGTAGCAGATCCCTGCTGTCTCACTGGCGGATCTAGTGTTCCTGCTGAATTGTGTCTTCTCTCTGACCCTCAGACTCCACCTAAGTCAGTGGACATGGAGTGGGCAGTCCCTGCTTTTCAGGACCTTTAGAAACAGGAACTGGCTCACCGTGAGCATGAAGTGTCCTTTGTTGGACTTTGCTTTGTTGCACATTTGAGCGTGTGCCCCAGAGAAGCCGTCATGCACTACAGCTTCTCATTTCTTGATATTTCTTAGATTTTTTTTTTTCATCTTCAATGTTCACTTTTTAAAATTTAAGGACACAGACTGCTTGGGTTGGTTTTATGGCTCCATCATTGCTTCCCTGTAAGAGCTAGAGGATGGTGGCTCACATTGCCTGCCTTGGTATTTCCTTTTGGCAAATCTGTATAATAATGGTAATAATCGAATAAGGTCCTGGTCAGGGTCAAATGAAAGTGCAAGCCAAGCACTTGGAACAGGAGTGGTCTCCCGGGTTAGGGGTTGTTTCTTACATGTCATTTATTGCGAGGGACACACAAGTGCTGTAGCACACAGTGGACATCAAGGACAAGTAGCTGGAGTCAGTTCTCTCCTACCTGGAGGAACCCCAGGGGTCAAACTCAGTTGCCTGGCTTGTCCGCCTTACCAACCGAGCTGTCTCTCTGGCCCCAGAGCCAGGTTCTTATTAATCTGTTGTCATTATATATTGTCCTCATTTTCTTTCTATTTCTGGGATAAAAACCATGATGAAAAGCAACTTGGGGAGGAAAAGGTCACTTTATTTCAGCTTATGGTATTTAGTCCATCATGAAGTTGAAATTCAGAGCAGGAACTCAAACAGGCAGGAACCTGAAAGGAAGAAGTGAAGCAAAGACCATGGAAGAATGCTACTTGCTGGCTTACTCCTCATGGTTTACTCAGTTCGCTTTCTTATAGAGGACACCTGCCAGAAGTGGCACCACCCACAGTGGGCTAGAGCATCTCATGTCAATCATCAGTCCAAAAAAATGCCCCATAGGCTTGTTGACAGGCCAGTCTAGGGCTGCATTTTCTCAATTGAGTTTCCCTCTTCTCAGATGTCCCTAGCATGTGTCAGGTTGACAGAAAAATAAACAACACACATTAACTGACTGTATGACTGGAAGTATATCAAAAAGTCATCTCTGTCAGCTTTCTTCCAGCTGTGCTGTGGCTGAATCTGCCTCCGATTTAGTTTTCCTCATTTCCTGTCATTAGCTGCTAACTGAGCTAGAAGGTGGACCCAGGGCTGGAGGGGCAGATCGGTAATTGGAGTGCTTGTTACCTGAGTTCTGTTCCAGAGATCCACATAGCAGCTCACAACTGTCTCCAACCCCAGTTACAGAAGTTCCAACATCTTCTTGCCTCTATAGGAACCAGGCACACACATTGTATACTTACATGACTCTAGACATACACTCATACACATAAAAGTAAAAAAGTAAAAAAAAAAAAAAAAAAAAAAAAAAGTGGATCCATTGAGGCCTGGTGAGCAGAGCCAGTGATTCAATCTTTTTTTCCTTTTTTCGAGACAGGGTTTCTCTGTAGCTTTGGAAGCCGTCCTAGAACTCGCTCTGTAGACCAGGCTGGCCTCGAACTCACAGAGATCCACCTGCCTCTGCCTCCCAGGTGCTGGGATTAAAGGCGTGCACTACCACTGTCCAGTTAATTCACAAACTATGGATACCGAGGTCTAGCTGAGGAGAGGTTAACCAGCCCATCTCACAGTACTGATCTCAATGGTAACGAGTGTGTGAAGGAGAATTAAGAAATTATGAGAGCACAGAGCACTTTTTCAGTGATCATGGAAGGAAACTTCCTTGAGAAGATGGTTTTCAAGTTGAGAGCCATAGGATGAGCTAGCACTAGCCAGAGAGAGGGAAGTTGAGGAGGAGGAAACTGATGGGCATGGGATGGGAGAAGAGTGCCAGCCATGCAAGAGAAGGCACGAGCTGGGCTCCAGTGGAAGTGAACATTGAGATAGTTCAGAGATTTGGAAGCCACTAGAAGATTCTCAACCTCTATCCAAAGAATTATGTCAGCCCTTGATAGGTTATGAGCCAAAAAAAATTAGGTGATTGTTTTTGAGAGATCATGCTGGTTATGGCACGAGAGAGACCAGAGGGGAAGAGAATCGAGACACCTGTGAGATCGTCTGGAGAAGGGGAGGGTGGTAGCCCACGGGAGGTGGCAGTCAGGGTGCAGAGGAGGGTAGAGGCCAAGGGATGGAAGGGGCTTAATGCCTGCGTGGGGACAAAGACAAGTGGGTTGAACTTGCAGGACTCTCACCCCTACACATGAGCTAGGAGCCCTCCCCGCTGTGAAGTGGAGGCTCCAGGTGCCGGGATATCACACCCTTCACAGGTGGGGCGAGGCTAGCATGTGCCTGTCGCAGGGAAAGCTTTGTATCTGAGTCCTAGATGTTCACCTTCTATGTGACAGGCAATGGAGCGAAGTTCTACCTTTCTGCTGCACCAGTCTTATTCTGAGACAAATTAGCAACACAGAACCAGATAAATAGTGCCAGAAGAAAACACTTTGGGGACAGACATCATGCTTGCCTTTTGACACCTGCTGCAGATAAAACCAATCAATCAGTGATCTGTTGCCAGGCCCGTTGCCATGAAGAGAAATAGGGGCCAGTAATGCAGGCCCAGGAAAGGAAACGATGTTCTACCTAGGGAGAGACATAGAGAACATTGATGCTGAAGTTGATGGTACCCTGAGTGCTGGGCCCATATCCCCTTCAAGTTCAGAAAGCCTGATCTGAGGGGAGGACACAGAAGGACACAGAAGGAGGTCAGCACGGGGCATCCCTTCAATCCAGGATGAAGGGAAAGAGTTGAGCTTGCTGAGCCCCTAGGTCTCATTTCTCCTTCAGGTGCTCTTCGCATCTCCTGAAGGGTATCTTCTGTGTCACAGACGCAGCCTTGCCATATTCCACATGCATGCACTGAGTGCTTTACGCAGGTAGGCTTAGCCTGGGCCACAGCACTGACCAAGGCCCTCATCTTCACAATGCCATGGAGAGAACCAGGGGCAGCTTGGGTGTAATCAGAGTAAGCCATTGAGTAGTTGCTGCTGAGGAAAGAGTGGGCTGGGCTGGGGAATGAGGTGGTTAAGGAACAGAGATCTTAGGCCTCACGACCAGCCAACCTGCCGTAACCCTGTTTTCAGAGTCATTCGGTCCTGTGGGTGTATGCTGTGTTGTGTGACAAAGGTAGCTAAAAATGACAAATGTGGGGTGAAGAGATTTAATGGCTCAGCTAGTAAAACACCTGGTATTCTTCCAGAAGACCCAGGCTTGATTCCCAGCACCCACATGGCACCTTCCAACCGTCTGTAACTCCAGTCCAAGGGCTCTGCCCTCTTCTAGCCTCCGTGGGCAGTCACTCATATAATGCATAGATATAAATTCAGGGAAAACCTCCATATACAGAGCATACCTCTGCCCATTTAAAATCTAAATTAAAACAACCAAAGACTTGCCAAAAAATAATGATAAACACCAAAACTGAACTGGATTATCTATGTTGAATTGAGTAATTAGCGTTTGTTTGTCTGCAGTAAATTTCCTCCATTTAAATTTTATGGTTTGGGTTTTATAAGTTTGCACTTTGCGTCACCCTGTTCATGGGTTGCTGTTACATGTTAACGATATGTATTTGTGGGAGGGTGGGAAGGAGACCCACAAAGCACACTGTGTTCATAACTGTCGGTGCCATCTAATGCATCAGTACTGGTTAAAAACACGAATGTGTTTATCAGCACACACCTAAGGTCCTAACACACGGCACTGAGCTGTGAGCCCTTCTCTCTTAGATACTCAAGTTCATCGGCACAAGAAGCTCTGGGATGTCTTTGAGATGAGTAAAGAACCAGGTAATGTTTTTCACCTTAAACTGAATGTTTGAATTCGATATTTTGGCAATTTAAAAATGAGGAGCAAATGTGGTCTTTTTGTTGGAGGGTTTGGTTTTGTTGTTTCTGAATCATTGTATCCCTGTGTAGCATAGGCTAGTCTAGAACTCTCTATATAGACAAAGCTGGTCTTGAACTCACTATGTAGCTTAGCCTGGCCTTAAATTTACTGCATAGATAAAGCTAGTCTGGAACTTGTGGTGGTTTTCCTGCCTTTCCCTCCAGAGTAGTGGTTCTCAACCTGTGGATTAAGACGCCTTTGTGGGGTCAAATGACCCTTTTCCAGGGGTTGCCTGGACCATTGAAAACATTATGATTCATAACAGTAGCAAAATTACAGTTATGAGCCGGGCGGTGGTGGCGCACGCCTTTAATCCCAGCACTCGAGAGGCAGAGGCAGGCGGATCTCTGTGAGTTCGAGACCAGCCTGGTCTACAAGAGCTAGTTCCAGGACAGGCTCCAAAACCACAGAGAAACCCTGTCTCGAAAAACCAAAAAAAAAAAAAAATTACAGTTATGAGTAGAAATGAACATAATTTTACAGTTGGGGTCACCACAAGAGGAACTGTATTAAAGGGTTGCAGCGTCGGGGAGGCTAAGAACCACTGTTCCAGAGTGGTGTGGTGACGGCGATATGCTTCCACACCCAGCCTCACAGTCTGCGATTTGTCTATTGCTCATTCATATCCCCTGGCGCTCGGGCATGTGTGGTGTGGCCATTACTGTTCTAGGATGCACAGGATGAAGATAGTGTGGCTCCCTTAACCTCTTTGTCTTTCTCTCTGCACTGACAGGTGAAGATGTCGACCTTTTTGACATGAAACAGTTCCAAGGTTCCTTTAAGAAAATTCTTCAGAGAGCATTAAAAAATGTAAGAAAATAATCCTCTTGGATTTCTACAAAATTCAGTTTAGTGCTATCGAGGGAGGGAGGGAGGGAGGGAGGGAGGGGAATAATATGTCATTACCTCAACAAACGGAAATATTACAAAACCTTCCCTCTCTTACCTGCCCATTCCACTGCTCTATAGGAGCAGTACTGCCCACGGGAACTCTGCCATGGTAGAGGCTTCCTCTACTGACAATCCGGCACATAGCTGGTTGCCACATGAGGACCTGATACGTGGCTGTTGTGACTGAGTGAATGAATCTTTAAACTTACTGAATGAACTCCCATTACATGCTCCACATGTGGCTAGTGGCTCAGCTGTTGGCCACCAGTCACTTTGGCTTTTGCAATGGGAAGTGAAGGCACCCAGAGCAAGACCCTCTGCTGTTCCAGCCAGTAGGGGCCACTGAGTTCTCTACTGCTCACCAGGGGATGAGACACCATTCTGCAAACCCACGGCCCAGACTGGGAGAGGCAGCTGAGTGCTGAGTGGCAGAGTTTGTTCTGAGCCAGCAGACAGCATAAGCACCTGCTTTTCCTGGAGTAAGATCCCAGAGTGAAGAAACAGCAAGCCAGCTGGTCCTCTCTTCAGGTTCTCCTTTCCGGGGTCAGGGCCCAGAGGGAAAGTGGACTGGAGCTTGCTGATGGTCTAGCAGTGGCTATTAAAGTCCGAGCAAATACAGTCATAGCTGCAAGTTTAGAAAGACCGATGGCTGGCTGTGACGTGGATACCACGCAGAACCTCAGTGGCTGTAGCTGCTGAGACGTGTGTGGAAGAGCGATCAGGATCAGTGTACTCTGGGCTCATTGCCACACACAGATCCTGCTGTGAACTGCAGGGACACGAAGTGTGCTAGCCAGCGACACTAAAAAGGCTTCATAGAAAAACACCCTTTCCCTTTAATTGTTTTTTTTAAAATATTTATTTATTTATTATGTATACAATATTCTGTCTGTGTGCATGTCTGCAGGCCAGAAGAGGGCACCAGACCTCTTTACAGATGGTTGTGAGCTACCATGTGGTTGCCGGGAATTGAACTCAGGACCTTTGGAAGAGCAGGCAATGCTCTTAACCGCTGAGCCATCTCTCCAGCCCCTAATTGTTTTGTTTTTGAGATAGAATCTCACTATGTAGCCCTAGCTGGATAGAACTCACTCAGATCTGCCTTTCTCTGCCTCCCAAGGCTGGCATTATAAAGGTTTGCCCAGCCAGATAGATCATTTTTTAATTTTTTTAAAACTATGTTTCAAGCCCGGCAGTGGTGGCGCACATCTTTATCCCAGCACTCAGGGAGGCAGAGGCAGGAGAATCTCTGTGAGTTCGAGGCCAACCTGATTTATAAAGTGAATTGGTGCCACGGTGAGATCTAATCAGAAAGCTTAAATCTTTTCTTTATAAGGTTTCAGTCAACTTCAGAGTCGACCAGAAGAATGCTGTGTGGATTCGGGTTGCCTGGGGAACACAACATTCACAACCAAACCAGTACAAACCCACTTTTGTGGTGTACTATCCCCAGACTCCATATGTCTTCATTTCTACCTGCCCTCTGAAGAGCACTGTACCCCTTCTCCATCAGGTAGGGAACAGATTCCAGCAGCTGGAGCACTCGGTGCTCTTATCTCAAAGGCCCACATAAGTATAAATGCTGATAAGATTTAGTGTACAGTAACTTAGTTCCCGTTCTTCTAAGTAAGACTCTTACCTACAGTGGAAATGTGATGGAAGATAATAGCTTGGTCTAGTTTTTTTTTTTAATGTAAAAGTAATGCACGCTTAATATGAAAACAAATGTAAGCAGTTCAGAAGTCTCTAAAGGGGAGTCATCAAAACTCCGCCCCTCCTTCCTGCTCTATTCACCCCAAGTAGTAGCTGTCTCCTTCCAAAGCTGTTTCGTCAGTGTCCCCAGTAGTGCTGTTTGTCCTTCTATTATCTGCCTACCAACAGCAATTAGCTGCTGTGACCACTTTCCACACTCGTGTACCCAAAAATATTACCTGTGTCAGAGGTGACCCCTCTCTTTTTCAGGGGGTCTACCTTTGTGTCTTAGTGTTCTGCTGTTGTGGAGAGGCATCATGACCAAGGCAGTTCTTTTCAATGAAAAGAAAGTAGTTCATTGGGGACTGGCTTCTAGTTCCAGAGATACAGCATTATCACCATGCTGGAAGTGGAGAGAGCTACATCCTGATCCAAAGGCAAAGGGGGGAAGGGGGGAGACTGGAACATGGGCTTTTAAAACCTCAAGCCCACCCTAGGGACACACTTCCTACATCTACTGTACTGAGGCCACACCTTCTAATCCTTTCACACATTTTACTGGCTGGTCTAAGCATTCAGATATATGAGCCTGTGGGAGCCTTTCTTATTCAAACCACACTTTGGTATTACAGGTATCCTAGCTTCTTTCCCAAAGTTGGCCTGTTCATTGCTATGCCCCCTATTAGCACAGAGCTAATAGAGTTCTCCCAGAGCTTGAGCTTGAGCGGGGTGCAGGCGAGCAGCAGTGTAGTTGGCTTCCTGCTTCCCACACACCTATCTGACAAAGTAACAGGTGATAGGATTAAATTTCTTAAATTCCTTTTCACTTGTGACGGGTGGGGGAGTCATTGTTTTTAGCCGGGCTCACCCTTGCTGCAGCCTCCCGAGGGCTGGGATCCCAGGTGTGCACTGAGCTTCCGCACAATGCGCTTTCCATTCTTAGCTGGAACACACGCGTGCGTGCATGCGTGCAGACCCACGTGCAGCCCTAACAGTCTTGTTCCTTTCCCTCCAAGGCCATGAAGGTTGCGAGCAAACACCATCAGATGGTGCACCTGAATCTGAAAAGCCGGCACCTGGACTCGCTCAAGGCTATCGTTTTTAGAGAGTATAACCAGGTGAGCCAGTCAGCACCTCTTTAAAGTCAAGTGTTCCTTGACTATCTGCACACTGAGCAGGTGGAGCCAGCCACTCCCAGCCCGGCCTGGAGATGAGTAGATGAAGCTTTCCCTCGCTTCACTTTGCTCATGTTTGTTTTATTTTTTTTTATTTTTTTTAATAAATATTTATTTATTATGTATACAATATTCTTTCTGTGTGTATGCCTGAAGGCCAGAAGAAGGCACCAGACCCCATTACAGATGGTTGTGAGCCACCATGTGGTTGCTGGGAATTGAACTCAGGACCTTTGGAAGAGCAGGCAATTCTCTTAACCGCTGAGCCATCTCTCCAGCCCCCGCTCATGTTTGTTTTAATCTTTCACAATTTCTTACATACATAATGTACTGTGATCATATTGTCCCCCATCATCCTCTTATCCCCTTCCCCATCCCCCCTGAACCTCTTCTTCCCAACAAGTCCCCTTCCTACTGTCATGGGGCTAGTAGGGGTTCTTTTGAGGCCACTGCATTTAATTAGGGCTGCTTGCATGAGTAGGGATGTGGTGTTATTTCCTAGAGCAAGAGCACCCACATTGGCTACACCACTGACAACTCAACTTCTTTCCCCCAACAACCATAAGCTGCCTAGAGCTCCTCAGAAAGAGGTGGGGCCTCCTGAGCCCTCCCCTGTCCAGGATAAAATGATGAAATGTTTGCACGTGGTGTTTCCATTTCTTGACAAGGACAGGTCTACCCTTGTGGTCTTAAGTTTTCTTCTGTACATGGCAAGTGTTTGTGCATGTTCATATTCTCTAGGTGAATGGGCTTCCTTAAGAAGGTTATGCTGTGTGTTATGTTCTAGGGAGAGAGAAAGAACAGCTGTCTGCAAGTCACTCTTTAAGGGGAATGTTGTAAAACTGGGAAATGGACCTTGGCGGCCTTGGCGGGCGAGAGCCAGAGGCCTCACAGCGGGCAGGAGACAAATACACCATGCAGACAGAGCTTGAGCACGAAGTTTATTGAGAGAAGGGTAAAGCAGGGGAGAGAGAAGGAATGTGCAGAACTTGTCTCTTAAAGGGATCTTTTGCACCTGCATACAGACTACGAAGTGACTATGTAGCAGCCGTAGAACCTGGGCTGGCCAGGGTATTGCCTGGGTGCATCCTGCCAGGTGATGGGACAAGCCAGCATGATGCCTGAATCCCAAGAGGGGAAGGGTAGAAACTTGAAGGTGTTTTTGCCTCAGGGTATTGCTAGCCACTTTAGACAGGAACCTCTAACTGTGAGCCAAAATAAATGCTTCTTCCCTTTAAAAAAGAAAGTAATTTTTATTTGTTGTTGGGGGTTTTAAGATACCCCAGGCTGACCATAAACTCTTTACATAGCTGAGGCCTCTACCTCCCAAGTGCTGGGATTGTAAGCCTGAGCTACCATGTTGACTTCCTAAGAAGATAGATGATGGCCTTCTCCCTCCCTGCTCCTTCCTTGTCAGCCCTCTACCCTACTTCCAAATAGACATCAACTGCTATCCAACCACAGCTTTATTGAGAGAGTTCACATTGTTAGCCACCAGCTGGAGAAGCGGTCACTCCCTCAAAGGAGATGCAATAGAAAGGATCGAGAAATGTGGGCTCATGGTGGCAAAGTATCTTTCCTAAAGGGCCCTGAGAGGTTTTTCAGGGTCTGACGACACAGTGCTGACACCAAGATGTCAGGGTTGTCTTCCATTCCTCTGGCTCTGTGCCACCCCAGCACCTTGAAGTGATTTTGTTTCATACGGTGCTGGGGATGAACCTAAGACCTCACATCTGCTAGGCAGATTTCTCTACCACTGAACTGCATCCTTGGCACAAGGCCCACTGTTCCGTCAGTTCCTAAAGCAACCTTTCAGCACAGCTTACCGTCCTAAGAACTATGCTCAGTTTAGCTAGCCTGTGGCAGAACCATTGTTTCTTTCTACTAAGTAAGAATATACAATATAAGACCTCTTTTTTAAAAAAATAAATAAGATTTTTCCAGGCAGTGGTGGTAATACCTTTAATTCCAGCACTTGGGAAGCAGAGGCAGACAGATCTCTTGAGTTCAAGGCTAGCCTGGTCTACAAAGCAAGTTCCAGGACAGGCTCCAAAGCTAGAGAAACCCGGTCTCGAAAAACGAAAACAAACAAACCAAAAACCCACACAAAAAAAAATTATTTACTACTTTACATCTTAGAACCAGTTGATATCTATGTATCCCAACATGTTCACTTTTTCTCTTTCCTAGAACTTTGACAGCCACAACACCACAGTGCCTCTGCAGAAAGAAAGCTTTGGACTAGACATGAATTGTATGTGAGCTTTGAAACAGCTGGGGTCGGGAAGGGTACCTTTGCCTTTCAGGTGACTGCTCCACAATAGAGCAGTTGTGCTAGGACCACATCATACTGCAGAAAAACCAAGACTTAAGTATTTGGGGGCAGAAAGCCGTGCTAGCTCAGGTGTTCTTCAGAGTTCACAGATGGCTGGCAGCCACTGAGCGTGCCCTTCGTGCCCAGCAGCGTACACGGTCCTTCCATGCGATTGTCACGGCAGTGTTGACAGCTGGCCTGTGGAGAGACACTCTCTACTGGGAAACTGGGTCTCAAGAAGGGTCACAGAGCTAGGTCTGTCCGAGGTGGAGCCCACGGTTTCATGCTCTCAGTGAGCTGGATGTGCTGGTTCTAGAATAACATGGTGGTGGCACAGCTACTCACTCAGAGAACCTGAATCTCCCCCTGGAATACCGAAGCTCAAGTTAACAAGAGAAGAAAACAGACCCCATGTTTGGAAGAGAGCACAGATTCCAGAGGCATAAGACCTGCTGTGAGTCCCGTGTTAAGAAACTTGATAGAAAAGCATTCATGGTAACTACACAGAAAGTGTATTAGAACCTAGATAGTGTCGTGGCACTGTAGGTATTTCTTACTCCCTTTTGTCAGCCTGTGCTCTCCAGCTGTTCTGTGGAATGACTTTATTTCAATAAAAAGAAGGGACAGGAAGCATATCTGAGCTACACAAATCGTCTGCAAGTTTAGGATGGGAAAAAGTATAGGGTGAGGTGTATTTCTAATGGTATCTCAATCCCAACTCTCATCCACAGTGGATTCAAACATCATTCTTGAAAACATAGAAGAAAAAGAAAGAATCAAAAGAGTCACTCAGGAGACGTTTGGAACCTATTCCCAGCCACAGCTGGAATTTGCACAGTATAAGGTAGGATGGCGCAGTGAACAGCACCTGCAAGTTAGTGCCTTTTTTTTTCTTGAGGTACAGAAGTCTTAACTGGAAAACGTGTCCAAAACCTATTCCTTTTTCATTTATCAGCTTTATGTGACAAATATTTAAGTTACATAGATCTTTTTATCATATTTGTAAGTTCTCCTGTTAGCAAAGGACACATCCTGAAATTTTGAATTTGCTTTTGCCTTCAGTAACTCAGCTTGTATATTGCTACCTGCGGGGAGGGCCTGTGCACACCTAGAACAGTATTTGGCATATAGTAAATGCTTGTAAATACTTGAATGGATGAGCTGGTATGGTGGCACACACCTGTAGTCCCAGCACTCAGGAGGCTGAGGCAGGAAGATCTTAAATTCAAGGCGAGCCTGGGCTACTTATACTTAGCAAGTTGGTAGCAAACTTGCCTGAATGACTCAGAAGCACAAAAACAAGAGAGAAAACACATTGACTACGTAGCCCCACTGACATCAGATGGAGAAAATCAGCGGTGCAAATATACTGTAAATTAAACTTGTTTCTAAGGGGTGCTGCTGCCCACCATGTGACCAAATAGGAATACAGGCGTCAAGCCCATGGCCACTGTTAGAAGAACTTCAGTATATGTCATAGACACCCTAGCATGAGCCCATGCTCCTACTCTTAATACCTTCCTCCCCCGGCCCCAGTAAAATAGTTTCCTATGAATCTTCTTACAGCTACAGGACACACTAAAGATCTGCCATTGATCTGCTCATTTAGGCCCAAAGGCGTTTTGCTTTGACTTGTTTTAAAGGAAGACGGCTGTGTGTGCTTTGCTCACTTGTTAAGGAGGCCAAAGGTCAGTGTAGCCATCTTCTGGTCTTATTCTTTGAGATAGGGTCTGTCACTGAGCCTCGAGCTTCTTTTCAGCTGGACTGACTGCAAGGAGCCCCACCTTCCTCCCGTCTCTTCCTTCCTCCCAAGTGTTGGGGTTACACATACATGGCTGGGTGCCAGGGACCCAGACTCAGGTCTGAATCCTCAAGCAATAAGCACTTTACCCACTCAGCCATCTCTCCAGTCTGCTTTATTGTAGCCTAGGACAGCCTCAAATTCCCATGTAGCCAAGGCTGGCTTTGAACTTATGGCCCTCCTGCTTCCTCCCTGTCACAGGAGTGGCCACCACACTTAGCTGTGTTGTATTAACTGAGGTCTTTTAAAGAGCTCCTAAGGGTGTGGTCTCTGAACTGGTAGAACCAGTCGCAGGAATGGGGAGGGAGCACAGATCTTAGCTCCACCCTTTTCATCCTGAGTCAGGGCGAGGTTGTGTCCACCATCTGTTTCTGCATACTGGCTGCTCTGGGCTATACACTAAAGCTGGGGAGCCACTGACTCAGGAGATAATTTGCTTGTTCAACCTCTAGGATGGTTGTGTTCTGATAGTCTAGGTGTGCCCTCACACCTGATTTTCTCCAACCTCAGGAAATGGCCAGAATATTATACTGAATGCCACCAGTCCACTTTAACTAGCCAATGGCCACATTTTGCCACGTCCTTTTTCTTTCTCTTTATTCTAAGTATAGATTAAAGAGAAATTGAATTCATTGCAGACAGTAAGTATCCCATAAATATTTCAGCATAGTGCCTCAAAGTTTTAAGAATCACTCACACCAGGTGGTGGCTCGCATCTTTAATCCCAGCACTCAGGAGGCAGATACAGGCGGATCTGTGAGTTCGAAGCCAGACTGAGTCTATAGAGAGAGTTCAAGGACAGGCTCCAAAGATAGAGCTACCCTGTCTAATATTTTTGTTTTTAAATGTGAGCGTATAGGAGGCACAGGCAGAAGGATCATTCGAAGTTCAAAGCAGCTGGTCTACCCCGAGTTCCAGGCCAGTCAGGCCACAGTGAGGCACTGTTTCCAAAAAGAGAGGAAAAAGCTAGGGTCACATACTATGATACTTAGTTATTTGATGACGTGGAAGAGTTGTTTGTATTTAGGGCTGTGGCTACAGCTCAGAAGTCAAGCACTGGTGTCATCACTGTTCTATTGCTGTGAAGAGATATCATGACCAGGGAAACTCTTACGAAAGAAAGCATTTAATTGGAGGCTTGCTTATAGTTTCAGAAGTTTAATCCATCATCCTCATAGCCAGGAACATAGTGGCACGTAAGCAGGTGCTGAAGCCGTAGCTGAGAGCTACAACCTGATCTGTAAGAAAATAGAAAGACCCTGGGGCTTGGCATGAACTTTTGAAACCCCAGAGCCTACCCCCATTGACACACTTATTTCCACAGGGCCATTCCACTTAACCCTTCTAATCCTTTCAAATGGTGCCACTCCCTCGTGACTGCTTTCAAATATATGAGCCTATGGGGGCCATTCTTACTCAAAACATCACGAGTGTTTACACACATTAGGCCCAGCACCTGAAAAGTTAACAGTGAGCATTCCAAACATTCACTGCAATCTGCATTCTTGGGAGGCTGAGGTTAAAACGTGGTCTACACAGCACAATCCTGTCTCGCAAAAATAAATAAATAAAATGATGTACAGCAATGGACCTCTTAGATACATACTGAAGTATTTCCGGTCAAATACTATGTTGTTTGAGATTTGCTCCAGTCTGGGGGAAGAGAGCACTAACAGATGAACCCAGAGCTGCTGATAACTTCCTCAGCTGGATAATGTGCACGTGGAGCTCACAGTGTGCTCCTTCTGCGTAATGTGGTTAGGTGGGAAGGGCTCTTAGGGGCACTTGGCTGTTGAGATGGTATCTGGCTTCCAACTTGGAATCCATGACTCAGCTTCCTGGAGGTAGGGTTCTAAGCTTATGTGCTACTACATCCAGTGTTTAGATATGCCCTCAGTCTTCCATAGTAAAAATCCAAGACTTTACCTATGCGTATAAGGTTTTGCCTGGAAGTGTGTAATGCACTAGATGTGTGCCCACGGCCTGTGGAGGCCAGCGGCTGTGTAGAATCCACTGGAACTGGAGCTGTGGACCATATGGGTATTAGGAACCTAACCCAGGTCCTCTACAATAGCAACAAGGACCCTTAACCACTGAGCCATCTCTCCAGCCCTGAGATTTATTGTTTTTATGTTGGATGCAAAATGTAATAGGCACATGAGGGCAGCACAGACTCTTGTCTTCTCCTGCAGATCAGTTGCTATCCTGAGGGTGGTGCTGGCACTCAGCCTCACCTGTGGGTCCATACCGTGCTGAGGGCAGTGCCAACACTCTGTTGAATGTATTTCTTATACCAGATGCTTTCACTCTTTGCAGTTAGCAAGTTAAACGGGATCTACCTGTATTAATTATTCCGTGTGGTTTTTGAAAGCAGGAATTAATGGAATACATAAATTGTTCATTATCTCTCACCATCCTAGCTGCTCCTGGTATTGACAATCATTTATAAACTTTCTTTGACAGCTGGAGACCAGATTCAAGAGTGACATAAGTGGCGGCATCTTGGCTGACAGGAAAGAACCCCTCCGGTGCCTTATAAAGTTCTCAAGCCCACACCTTTTGGAAGCATTGAAATCCTTAGCACCTGCCGGTGAGTGGTCAGCGTGTCCTACCAGCCAGACAGCTGCTTTTGATTCTCAGTAGAAGACTAGCTAGTTACCTCTTAGTGTTCTGTCTCTCCAGTCTGCTGCCCACCAAGCCGTGTTTTGCTTCTGTGCTTAGTAGGTGGTAGGAGAAGGTGTCCCTAATTTGCTTCTGGTTTTGGCCATTTTTAAACTGATTGTCCCCAGGATCATCTGGTTTTTTTTTTTTTTCTTTTTTTCAGGTATAGCAGATGCACCGCTTTCTCCACTGCTCACCTGTATACCAAGCAAGAAAATGAATTATTTTAAAATTAGAGATAAATGAGATATATGTGGCTTTGCTCGTATTGCACATGGAATCCCAGTTGTAGCCGGCTGGCTTCTGTATAGACTCTTGTGTTTTAGAAATCAATCCTTGGCATTGGAAAGTCCGTGCTTTTAATGTAACTGTTGGGACTCTATATGTCCTCCCTATGTGCTCTTGTACCCTTGCTGCTATGGCCTGCTAATTAAATTACAGCAGCAGTGATACCTCTGGCTGCTCAGCAGGTCTTGGGCCAGCTGCATAAAGGTATAAAAGGCTTTAGCTCAGGGCAAAATAAAGGTTGCTGTACTTCCACCTGAAAAGAAACCTCCATGTCTCAATCCCAGCACCACCACCACCCACCACCCCTGCCAGATCCATCTATGGAGAAAAATTTGAGGATGAGAACTTCATCCTGAAGCATACAGGTCCTGGCATCTTTTTTTTTTTTTATTGAGAAAAGAAGAAAAAAAAAAAAAACAAGTTTCCACCTCCTCCCAGCCTCCCATTTCCCTCCCCCTCCTCCCCCTCTACGCCCCCTCCTCCCACCCTTCTCCCCCTCCCCCCACTCCTTTCCCCCTCCCTCTCCAGTCCAAAGAGCAGTCAGGGTTTTCTGCCCTGTGGTAAGACCTAGGACCTCCCACCTCCGTCCATATCTAGGAAGGTGAACATCCAAACTGGCTGGGCTCCCACAAAGCCATCACATTACGTAGGATCAAACCCCCGTGCCATTGTCCTTTGCGTCTCATCAGCCCTCATAGTTCGCCATGTTCAGAGAGTCCAGTTTTATCCCATGCTTTTTCAGTCACAGTCCAGCTGGTCTTGGTGAGCTCTCAATAGATCAGCTCCACTGTCTCAGTGGGTGGGTGCATCCCTCGTGGTCCCGACTTCTTTGCTCATGTTCTCCCTCCTTCTGCTCCTCATTGGGACTTTGGGAGCTCAGTCCAGTGCTCCAGTGTGGGTCTCTGTCTCTATCTCCATCCATCACCAGATGAAGGTTCTATGATGATATGCAAGATATTCATCAGTATTGCTCAAGGATAGGGTCATTTCAGGTTCCCTATTCTCAACTGCCCAAGGAACTAACTGGAGACCTCAGCTTGGGCACCTGGGAGCCCCTCTAGGGTCAGGTCTCTTGCCAACCCTAAAGTGGTTCCCTTAACTAAGAATTGTGGTTCCGTGCTCCCCTGTCCAACCTTCCTTTATCCCAATCCTCCTGCTTTCCCAAGGCCCGACCTCCTTCCCTTCTAACTTTTCTCTCCCCATCTCCCCTTACCCCCAACCCACCCCACCCAAGATCCCAATTTTCTCCCCGGCAATTTTGTCTACTTCCCTTAGCCAAGAGGATAACTATATGTTTTTCCTTGGGTTCCCCTTCTTACTTAGCTTCTTTAGATTCACCTATTGTAGACTCCGTGACCCTTATTTATGGCTAGAAACCAATTATGAGTGAGTACAACCCATGTTCATCTTTTTGGGTCTGGGATACCTCACTCAGGATAGTGTTTTCTATTTCCATCCATTTGCATGCAAAATTCGAGAAGTCATTGTTTTTTACCGCTGAGTAGTACTCTAATGTGTAGATATTCCATACTTTCTTCATCCATTCTTCCATTGAAGGGCATCTAGGTTGTTTCCAGGTTCTGGCTATTACAAATAATACTGCTATGAACATAGTTGAACAAATGCTTTTGTCATATGATAGGGCATTTCTTGGGTATATTCCCAAGAGTGGTATTGCTGGGTCCAGGGGTAGGTTGATCCCGAATTTCCTAAGAAACCGAAACACTGACTTCCATAGTGGTTGCACAAGATTGCATTCCCACCAGCAATGGATGAGGGTACCCCTTCCTCCACAACCTCTCCAGCAAAGGTTATCGTTGGTGTTTTTGACTTTAGCCATTCTCACAGGTGTAAGATGATATCTCAAAGTTGTTTTGATTTGCATTTCCCTGATTGCTAAGGAAGTTGAGCATGACCTTAAGTGTCTTTTGGCCATTTGAACTTCTTCTGTTGAGAATTCTCTGTTCAGATCAGTGCCCCATTTTTTAATTGGGTTAATTAGCATTTTAAAGTCTAGTTTCTTGAGTTCTCTATATATTTTGGAGATCAGACCTTTGTCTGTTGCGGGGTTGGTGAAGATCTTCTCCCAGTCAGTAGGTTGCCTTTGTGTCTTAGTGGCAGTGTCCTTTGCTTTGCAGAAGCTTCTCAGTTTTAGTAGGTCCCATTTATTCAATGTTGCTCTTAATGTCTGTGCTTCTGGGATTATACATAGGAAGCGATCTCCTGTGCCCATCTGTTGTAGGGTATTTCCCACTTTCTCTTCTATCCTTTTCAGTGTGTTCGGGCTGATATTGAGGTCTTTAATCCATTTGGACTTGAGTTTTGTGCACGGTGAAAGATGTGGGTCTATTTTCATTCTTCTACAGGTTGACATCCAGTTGTGCCAGCACCATTTGTTGAAGATGCTTTCTTTCTTCCATTGTATACTTTTAGCTCCTTTATCAAAAATGAGGTGTTCATAGGTTTGTGGGTTAAAATCCGGGTCTTCTATATGATTCCATTGGTCGACTTCTCTGTTTTTATGCCAGTACCACACTGTTTTCATTACTGTAGCTCTGTAATAGAGTTTGAAGTCAGGGATGGTAATGCCTCCAGAAGATCCTTTATTGTATAGGATTGTTTTGGCTATCCTGGGTTTTTTGTTTTTCCATATAAAGTTGATTATTGTCCTCTCCAGATCTGTGAAGAATTTTGATGGGATCTTGATGGGGATTGCATTGAATCTATAAATTGCCTTAGATAGAATTGCCATTTTTACTATGTTGATCCTCCCAATCCAAGAGCAAGGTAGATCCATCCATTTTTTGGTATCCTCTACAATTTCTTTCTTCAATGCCTTAAAGTTCTTGTCAAATAGATCTTTCACTTCCTTGGTTAGATTTACCCCAAGATATTTAATGCTGTTTGTGGCTATCGTGAATGGTGAAGCTTCTCTGATTTCCCTCTCTGCTTCCCTATTCTTTGTGTATAAGAGGGCGACTGATTTTTTGGAGTTGATCTTGTATCCTGCCACATTACTAAAGCTGTTTATCAGCTGTAAAAGTTCTTTGGTGGAGTTTTGGGGGTCGCTTAAGTACACTATCATATCATCTGCGAATAACGAAAGTTTCACTTCTTCCTTTCCAATTCGAATCCCCTTGATCCCATTATGTTGTCTTATTGCTATTGCTAGAACTTCAAGTACTATATTGAAGAGGTATGGAGAGAGTGGACATCCTTGTCGTGTTCCTGAGTTAAGCGGGATGGCTTTGAGTTTCTCTCCGTTTAATTTGATGTTAGCTGTCGGCTTGCTGTATATAGCTTTTATTATATTTAGGTATGACCCTTGTATCCCTAATCTCTCCAAGACTTTTAACATAAATGGATGTTGAATTTTGTCGAATGCTTTTTCAGCATCTAATGAGATGATCATATGGTTATTTTCCTTCAGTTTATTTATATGCTGGATTACATTGATAGATTTTCGTATGTTGAACCAGCCCTGCATCTCAGGAATGAAGCCTACTTGATCATAATGGATAATTTTCCTAATGTGTTCTTGGATTCGGTTTGCCAGTATTTTGTTGAGGATTTTTGCGTCGATGTTCATGAGTGAGATTGGCCTGTAATTCTCTTTCCTGGTTGAGTCTTTGTGTGGTTTTGGTATCAGAGTAACTGTAGCTTCATAAAAGGAATTAGGTAATGACCCTTCTGTTTCTATATTGTGGAATACATTAAGGAGTATGGGTATTAGCTCTTCTTGGAAGTTCTGGTAGAATTCCGCATTGAAACCATCTGGTCCTGGGCTTTTTTTGGTAGGGAGGTTTTTGATAACAGCTTCTAATTCTTCGCGACCAACAGGTCTGTTTAGATTGTTCACCTGGTCCTGGTGTAACTTTGGTATATGGTATTTATCTAAAAAAGTGTCCATTTCTTTTACATTTTCCAGTTTTGTGTTATACAGGCTTTTGTAATATGATCTGATGATTCTCTGAATTTCCTCTGTGTCTGTGGTTATGTCCCCCTTTTCATTTCTGATCTTATTAATTTGCGTATTCTCTCTCTGCCGTTTGATTAGTTTGGCTAGGGATTTATCAATCTTGTTGATTTTCTCCAGGAACCAGCTTTTTGTTTCATTGATTCTTTGGATTGTTTTCTGTGTTTCTATTTTGTTGATTTCAGCCCTCAGTTTGATTATTTCCAATCTTCTACTCCTCCTAGGTGAGTCTGCTTCTTTTTTTTCTAGAGCTTTCAGGTGGGCTGTTAAGTCTTCAATATGTGCTTTCTCTGTTTTCTTTAAGTGGGCACTTAGTGCGATGAACTTTCCTCTTAGCACTGCTTTCATAGTGTCCCATAAGTTCGAGTATGTTGTTTCTTTATTTTCATTGAATTCAAGGAAGACTTTAATTTCTTTCTTTATTTCTTCCTTAATCCAGGTATGGTTCAGAAGTTGACTGTTCAGTTTCCATGAGTTTGTAGGCTTTCTGGGGGTAGCATTGTTGTTGAATTCTAACTTTAATCCATGGTGATCTGATAAGACACAGGTGGTTGCTAATATTTTTTTGTAACTGTGTAAGTTAGCTTTGTTACCGAGTATGTGGTCAATTTTCGAGAAGGTTCCATGAGCTGCAGAGAAGAAGGTATATTCTTTCCTCTTTGGGTGGAATAATCTATAGATGTCTGTTAAGTCCATTTGCTTCATTACCTCCATTAATTCTCTAATTTCTCTGTTAGGTTTCTGTTTGATTGACCTGTCCATTGGTGAGAGAGGAGTGTTGAAGTCTCCTACTATTAGTGTGTGTGGTTTGATGGCTGCCTTGAGTTTTAGTAATGTTTCTTTTACATACGTGGGCGCTTTTATATTCGGGGCATAGATATTCAGGATTGAGACTTCATCTTGATGAATGTTCCTGTTATGAGTATAAAATGTCCCTCTCCATCTCTTCTGATTGATTTAAGTCTGAAGTCAACTTTGTTAGAAATTAGTATGGCCACACCTGCTTGTTTCTTAGGACCATTTGCTTGATAAGCCTTTTCCCAGCCCTTTACTCTGAGTAGGTGCCTGTCTTTGTGGTTGAGGTGTGTTTCTTGTAGACAGCAGAACGTTGGATCCTGTTTTCGTATCCAATCCCTTAGCCTGTGCCTTTTTATAGGTGAGTTGAGCCCATTGACATTAAGTGATATTAATGACCAGTGGTTGTTAACTCCGGTCACTTTTTTAGTAGTAGGGTTTGTGTGTTTCCCTTCTTTGAGTTGCGCTGGTGAAAG